TGTGTGGTAGAGCTACTAATGCTAACGTTAGCTTCTACTAGCAGAGACATTCTCTGCTGTTTCCTGGACGCTAAAACAACAGCCTTCCCTGTTGTGAGTCGAGATGGGAGAGTCCATGATTGTTAAGGGTCAGTGTGATGTAGATCTGTCAGTCTTTTCAAATCCTAGAGTTTCACCATCTATTTTCCACAGAAGAGAATGACAAATTTAACCCTGAATTTAGTTTGCCAGGTTGTCTATCAGAAATTGTGATTTCCGCGTTGTTTTAAGCTTCTATTAAATATTTTTGTATAGCTGAAGCCAAGATGATATTATTATCCTAACAACTGTCATGCAGAGTCTGAAATTGTTAAAACACACTAATCAGTGGGGCAGCAGTAGCTCAGGTGGTAGAGCGGGTTGCCTCATGATCGGAGGGTCATGGGTTCGATTCCAGCTCCCGCCAGGGGTATCCCGCTGTTGTGTCCCTGGGCAAGACACTTCACCCAACTTGCCTGTGTTAGTGGTGGTCAGAGGGGCCGACGGCGCCAAATGGCAGCCTCGCCTCTGTCAGACCTCCCCAGGGCGGCTGTGGCTACAAGTAGCTTACCATCACTAGCAGTGTGTGAATGTGAGAGTGTGTGAAAGCGTCTTTGGGTGTCTAGAAAAGTGCTACATAAGTTCAATGCCTTATTATTATTATTATTATTATTATTATTTTCTATCAGAAGCTAATGCAGGAGATAGGTGTAGGAGACTATTTTCATGTTCAGCCTGCATGAAAAACTCTAGAGTGACTGATGATCAGAAATAATCATTAAAATGTTTTTTCAGTGAACGACAGCTTTAATTATACTTGCCTAATAGCCTTTTTTGAATATCTGTAGAAATACAAAAAGGTTTAACTGTTAACTGGTCAGGGTTAGCACTAAAGGATGGAGACATCTTAATGGATTAAGACGCTAAATTCCTACTAGTGCGGTTGTTCTTATCTTTATTGATTATTACTTAAATGTAATTTCTACTCTCATATCTTTTCAAATTTCATCAGTAAGAATATTATTAGGACAAAGAAATTATATTATTGCTTTGTAGAACAGGAATTACAGAGACGTGTTGGTGATTAAATATTAAAATGGCTTGCCGTAAAGGCTTGTTTTAGACAGCTACAGGGGAAATGTAGAACAACACAATATGAACCGTCACTCACTGGATTGTTCTAAAATTACTGTTAAACTTGTTTAGGCACTAATTACATTAGTGAGTAATTTAATCTTACGCAGATGGAGCCTTGGTGTTGGGGGGTCCTTGGTGCACAATTTTCAGGAACTACAAGTTATCCACATCTCAGCTGAGCTTCAGACGACAGGATTTGGGGTCTTATTTCCTGATATTTAGACATCTCGCCTCGGATTGGATAACAGCAATGGGACCATCACTGACTCAGTTTGATTTGCAACACGGATGTTTTATCTCCACAAATAACAGGCTATAGGTCATGACTTCAAGTTCTTGGGAACTATCATTTCCAGGGATCTGAAGTGGGAAACAAACATCAACTCCATCCTCAAAAAGGCTCAGCAGAGGATGTATTTCTTACGGCAACTAAGGAAGTATGGCCTACCACAAGAGCTGCTGATCATCTTCTACACTGCTGCAGTCGAATCCATACTTTGCTCATCCATCACTGTCTGGTTTGGGTCAGCCACAAAAATGGACAAATGCAGACTACAGCGTATTATTAAAACAGCAGGAAAAATCATTGGTGCTCAACTGCCCTCTGTCCAGGAACTGTACATCAGCAGGACCAGGAAAAAGGCAGAGAATATTGTCCAAGATGCCACACATCCTGCTTCTACTCTCTTCCATCTCCTCCCATCTGGCAGACGCTATAGATCACTGTACACAAAAACTACCAGACACAAGAACAGTTTCTTTCCTTCAGCCATTTCTCTCCTGAATCTGTAGATTCTTTTACCATCCTTTTACTATAGTTTTTAATACTAATTCAGTATGCTTATGGATATGTGTGTGTGTGTGTGTGCGTGCGTGCGTGCGTGTGTGTGTGGGTATGTAAATATGTATATAGGTGTGTGTGTAAATGAACATGTGTGTGGGTATACATGTTCTTATGTGTTTTTAGGTATTTTTATTCTCATTTATTGTGGTTGTTGTATGTTTTAGAGAGCGAACATCTACCGAAGACAAATTCCTTGTAAATGTAATTTTACTTGGCCAATAAATCTGAAATCTGAATCTGAACACAAGCCTGTAGGAGTTCTGCAGTGTGGTGGAGTTGCTAATGCTAATGGTTAGCTTATACCAGTTGAGACATTCTCTGCTGTTTCCTGGACACTAAACCATAAACAAAAAATCTATTCTCCACCAGAAGCTAATGCAGAAGATAGGTGTAGGAGACTATTTTCATGTTCAGCCTGCATGAAGAACTCAAAGTGACCGATAATAATCAGAAATGAGAATTAAAAAATGTTTTTTCAGCATTCCACACCTTGAAGATACTTATATATACTTTGTTAGGGTTTGGGTAAACACTACTACATTACAGCTAGCGTGTGGACAAACAGCTATGGTGCTCATGAGGAAGTGCAGCTTCATATGAAATCCTCCTGACTAAGCTCACTGATGAATGAACCCCCCTCTTGAATTCTCTTGATTTCTGGCGTGGCTGTGGTGTGTGCCCTGAAAGTCTGATTAAATGATAAAGCAGCAGCTCAGATGAGAACTTTACTTTGTCTTCGTGGACATGAACGTTTTTGACCTACTGTAGGAGCAGGTCAGGAACCCAGCAGAGCTGTGTGACCTCACAATGGGTGGGAGACAAACTGCTCTGCCAATGAAGCATCAGTCTGTCCTTGAGCAGCTTCACCCCATCTGAATGAGGCCTTCACTGAGAGTCAAAGGTCAGATTCAGGAGGACAGAAGTGCTTCTTCGCCCTGATCAGGATGCCTGAGGGTCTATGAGAGTCTTAATGTGTTTGAATGACAGTCATGTCTTATGTCAGTCTCATGAAAGCTTGAAAGATGAACTCATCCAAGTTTGGGTTGAAATCTTTTAGCTACCCTCCAAACATAATATTTTCATTTTGAAGTCATTCATGTCCATGATGAGGTTGTAAACTTCCAAGTGAAGCGGTTGGAGCTTCCCGTTAGCTACGAGACCCCGTCCTGTGATTACCGACCCACCAGACATGTTGCATGCAGGGAAAAATTAACAGCGACTGACCACTACTGCTGAATGTCCTCAGAGCCTTACGGAGACTTTAAGATAAGTGGAAACAGACAGAGACAAATTCAATTCTAAACAATGCTTCCTTCACAGCAGGAGCAGATTCATCAGCCAAGTGTATGAAGTCTCTCATGGAGTTGGTTTTTAACCACTGCTCTCTAGCTTTAGCCTGAAGGTGGACATGTTAGTAAGCTAACAGGACAATCACTGGACTGGGGCAGTCTGTACACCTGCTGTGGCTCAGGTGTTTGATAAAGGCGATGCATGCGATCAGTGCAGAGGGTCTTTGGGTGATACTCACTGCACTGATGAAGGGCAGGTTTAGGATGGAGCCAAGAACAGGTATTCTTCTGATAAAGCCCACAACAACAGGAAAGAAACCCCTGCAAGTGAAGACAGGAAGAGAGTAAGACAAAAACTTCTGACATTTAAAAATGTTAAGTTCTTTCGTTACTTAAAAGAATAGAAATCCCCTGCAAGCTGTTATGTCAGCATTTCAAATTAAGATCTGATGTTTAAAAATGGTAGCTTTATAGCTGTTTAGCTCTTCTGTCTCTACATTTCAAAGCTCTATAACGGACACAGGCTAAAGGCATTCAAAAACAAGACAGGAATTCAAGCCGTTCTTCTAAAAAATACCTGAATAAAAGAAAAAACCCATATATCTCCAGCAAGACTCCGATGATAGGCCAACCAATGAGCACCACAAAAATCCCTCCCAGGAAGAAACTGGTGGCTTTCATCTTGTGCTTCTGAAAGAAGAATCGGAAAGTCCTCTCCAACCCGATGACGAAAGCGAGTCCAGCGACAAACAGGATCTATGGAGGAAGCAGATGATTCGGTCACTGAAGATCTCATCACAGCAGTTTTTGGTCTGGACTCCCACTTAATTCTGTTGTAATTCTGCTCCTGAGTTTTGGAGCAAGGTTCCATTTTACAACACTAGGATTTTACTACAAATTAAATTCTACATAACAGGTAATCACGTTAGTTGTGTTTCAATGTTTTTCAGGTCAAAATTCTGACTAAACAAATATAGTTAAAGTCCTTTTTTTGCCCAGAGACCCGGTTCCTTAGAGATCAGCAGGTTTATTAATGAAGAATGAAGGATCTAAAATCCTGTGTCTTGCTATCAAACCTTAGAAATGAGTACATTCATTTGTTTTCATCAAATCTGTATGCCACTGAGGTAACATCAATATATAATCATGTAATCAGTAGCACACATGATGATAAACAATACTCACATTCCCGATAGCCAGCAGTGCCTTGTCAAAGAAAAGGATCATCCCAAAGAACAGGAAAAACACACCGAAGCCTGTTAATCCCATCCCAATCTCTGTGGACACAAACAGAATATCACTCATCCACTCTTTTATCAATTCTCGCGAGAGAAAAAAACAACAACTAACAATTAGCTTCAGAGATAACAATAATGGCTCTGGATGAGTTTTATTGTTTAATAATTGGCTAGCGTAAGTCATAGAAGCACAGCTGCTAGCGCCACCACATACACAAGTTTAACTAGAGCTAAAGCTAGGGGAACGCCGGTTTGAATACAGCTGTTGTTAAACAACAGGTCTTACTTTGGGAGTCCGTTAGCGAAATCATCTTAACGACAGAAGGGAAAAGAAAAACAAGTAGGAAAAGTTTAAATAAATCTTCTAATGGTCTCAATGTAGGTTTTAGATGACAGTTCTGCAGATGACAGGTTCCACTGAATCAACAGCCACGTCTTCCGGAAACACTCCTTCGTGGCATTTAAACTTCCGGGGCCCTGGAACAAACCACAGAGTTACATTCAACAAAGCAACGTTTCACGTCAATATTTCAGTTATATTTCCTAGAATATACATAATGTTCTATACATTTCTAGTGTCATACACACACATTTGTCTGGCCGAGTTTAGGTGTTCTTTGTGAAACAGAAAGGTTTAAACACTCTGAACACATCTTTATCAATCTTACTCGGTAAACGTCTTGAATGCCACTTATAGTCATATATTTAAACCTGGATTTTGTCTTCCAGGCAGCACTGATTAGTGTGTTTTAACAATTTCAGACTCTGCATAACAGTTGTTAGGATAATTAATATCATCTTGGCTTCAGCTATACAAAAATACTTAATAAAAGCTTAAAACAACGCGGAAGTCACAATTTCTGATGGACAACCTGGCAAACTAAATTCGGGGTTAATTTAGTCATTCTCTCCTGTGGAAACCCTGTGCGGTTTCCACAACAAAAAGTCCAATGGGCTGAAGGCCGAATGGGTTTGAAATTCGTTGTGCTTCAAGGTAAGCTGACGGAACTACTAGGAGCAGATTACAGGGTGTTTCTCCATTCAGATAAAAAACGAACCACCGGGCGGCTGAAAGCTGGTGGTAGGTTACTGCTCACGTTGGTGGTTAAACAGGTGCTCAAGCTAAACATGCTTTAAATTGATCCAGAATTATTTAAAAAGTAGCCTTCTAGCTGCTGAACCGTGTGGTCTAATTTCCCTGCTTTATGTGGGTGAATCAGGTTGAAAACCGATGCATTAAACCAACTTTAGTAAAATAGTGTAACTTAAAAAAATGCACCGATTTGTTGGTTTCAAGGGCCGATTATTTAGAAATTGCTGCTTGACACAGATTTTTGATTTTCATACTCACTGAAAACTAAGTTGATTGTGCAGAATATTGGCAGATTTAGAAATCCTACTAATTTGTTTATTGATTTTTGATGCGTTTAGAATAAAACTAAACATTTTTTTCAACAATATAAAAATAATATCCACTAACTAACTAATGACAACAGCTGAAGCAAAAGCTGCTCATATTTTTACTGTCTATTTGAATGGGAAGACAAATGAAAGACTCCGATAATTCATAATTTCTCTTTAACAGAGTCAGACTGAAGGTCTGCCCTTTGATCAGGTTCTTCTGAAACATGGACGGTGAACCTAATGGTGAGTATTTATGTGTTCATTTGCTTCTTTTTTTTTCCAAAAAGATGAGTTAATATTAATTAAAGCCAGAGCAGGGTGGAGAAGGACGCCGTCTCAGGTTTATCAAGCTGTGGGTTACACTAGCGTGATGGAGTAATGAGATCAGAATGTGTGGAGCTGTGATCCTTGTGGGACTGGTGTCCATGGAGGTGTGAGACACTCCTCGCTGTTCACTATCAACTAAATCCACTGGGAGAACTTGCTGCTCCAGTAAAGTGAAAATCTCAGGTGGGTTACCATCCATCAGGTCTAAAATAATAGACGGTCTCCTAAAGTGGATCCACCAGAGCAGATTTTGTTTAGGAACAGCAACAACAGGTGTAAGTCCACCTACTGCACAGTAGAAAAGACCAAGTTGGACTAAGCTTTCCAGCACACCTGAGACAGCTGAGATGACCTCTGGTGTTTGTTCAGATGTTCAGGCAGAGCTGGACTCGGTGGAGGCTGAACTGGACTTGTTGGAGCTGCAGATCGCAGAGCTCCTGGAGAAGCAGGCTCAGTTGACATCTCGGAAGAATGCTCTTCTGCAGCAGCTGGAGGAGGCCTGTGACTCTGCTCGACCGTCGTCTTCTTCATCCTCGTCTTCCTCAAAGCCTTCACGGGCTGAGCCAGCGATGAGCAAGCAGGAGCTGCAGCGCTATGATGGCTCAGGTATCACGCTGCTGCACATCTGTATGTTAAAACAAACAATCTATTGGTATTAAGGCTCATGTTTGGATGCTTGGTAGATTTCCCCTGGTCCAAAGAGGTGGCCCAACACCTGATGGACTCCTTTCATTTGGTCGAGTTCAGACCACTGCAGCTTCGAGCGATCAACCTGACCCTGGCAGGTCGAGATCTCTTCCTGGTGATGCCCACAGGAAGAGGAAAAAGTCTTTGCTACCAGCTGCCTGCAGTCTGCTCCAAAGGTGCAGCCAGACTTTGTCCTCCCGTTCACTCATTCAGTTTGAGGTTTTGTTTTCTGCACAAATTTCAGACACACACTTGACTCGTTTGTCATCATGTGGCAGGTTTCACACTGGTCGTCACCCCCCTGGTGTCTCTGATGGAAGACCAGACCATGTATCTGAAGTCTGTTGATGTTCCTGCAGTCATGCTGAATGCATCCAGTAACAAGGCGAGTTTTGGTTTCCTGGTAGCTGGAAGTCAGACGCCTCAGTGTAACTAGAACAGAGTGAACTCTGGGGGGGTTTGGACTCAGACTCTTCATTCAGATGGTTGGTCTGGATGTTAAAGGGGAGCAGAAGCCCTCTACTCAGAGTGTTTTAGAGCAAAGTGATCTTTCCTTTAACTGTTTCAGGAGCACGCTAAAGCCGTCATGGCTGGCATGACAGACCCAACGTCCCCCTTCAAGCTGCTGTATGTAACTCCAGAGAAGATCGCTAAGAGCAAGCTTCTGATGTCTCGACTAGAGAAAGCCTACAATGCTAACCTGCTGAGTCGGATTGCAGTGGATGAGGTGCACTGTTGCAGCCAGTGGGGTCATGACTTCAGACCAGGTGAGCCCTTTCAAATCAGGTCGGGTCAGGTCACCTGTGAGGAGAAAACATTTGGTTGGTTTGGGAGGATTGAGGCTGCAGCCTGATGTGTGTTTACTTTGTAGATTATAAACTCCTGGGAATCCTGAAAAGGCAGTTCCCCAAGGTGCCACTGCTGGGCCTCACAGCCACGGCAACCAGTAGCGTCCTGAAGGACTGTGAGAAGATCCTGTGTCTCCCCCAGCCAATCACGCTTACCGCCTCCTTCAATCGCACCAATCTCTACTATGAGGTAGCCATGGCTACACCGCTGTGCTGCAGCTTTTCACATGAAGTAAATCTGGGTCCAGATTCAGTTAGCTAGTTAAAATCAAACTTCATGTTTTTCTTAGGATCAGAAGCAAACTGTTTGACTACAGCTTAACATTACACCTGTGTGTGTCAGCCACACAGCCTTCACTTAAACCTCAGTCACGTGCAGCTTCTGCTTGTCAGGCACAACCATCAGCCAGCTGCTCCAGTCTGAGTCGACGTAGAGTTTATAAATTCCTTGTTAGAACAGTTCCTCTGTACCAGTGACTTTTCGCTCTTTTTCCAGGTTCGTGTCAAAGATTCTGACAGTGAGGCATCAATAAGTGACATTACCACTCTGATCAAGAGTAGATACCAGAACCAGTCAGGTACCACGTCCCTGTGAGGCCAACAGGTTGAATTAAAGCAGGTGCTTTTCATCAGACACACCTGAGATGATTGAGTGTCGTTTCCGTAGGTATCGTCTACGTCTTCTCTCAGAAGGATGCTGAGCTGTTGGCCTCTGAGCTCCAGAAGAGAGAAATCTTGGCGTATTCCTACCACGCTAATATGGACCCTGATGATAAGACCCAAGTCCACCGCTGGTGGACGTCCAACAAAATACAGGTACTGGATTGGATGCACAAACACAAGCGTTTAATGCAGGACCACAGACCCGCTTAGGGATGGGTATCGATTAGGTTTTATCCGATACTGGTGCCAAACCGGTACTTTTGAAATGGTACCGGTCACCCGCTGCAAGTGCTGGTGCCTTGGTTCTAACTAATGTTCTGCTGTTGTCATCAGTCAGTGGGTTTGTGTTGGTCTGTAGGTGGTTGTTGCCACGGTAGCGTTTGGTATGGGCATCGACAAACCAGATGTCAGGTTTGTTATCCACCACACCATAAGCAAGTCCATTGAAAACTACTACCAAGAGAGTGGGCGTGCAGGTATCTTCTCCTGAAAGTCTGAGGAAATATTGCTGATGCTTCTCCAGATGTCCAACATGACGAATGAGATTTTCCTTGTCTTGTGTCTACAGGCCGAGACGACCTTCCAGCAGATTGCATTGTGTATTTTGGCTTTGCAGACATCTTTAGGATCAGCACCATGGTCGTCATGGAGAATGTTGGTCAGCAGAAGCTGCTGCAGATGGTTGACTACTGCCAAAAGGCCGACAGGTAACCCACAGTGCCAGAGACGATGGCCGACACGGCCTGAGTCGGATCTAACTGGCCTCTGGCCTCTGATGTGTGAAGGTGTCGGCGCTCTCTCATGGCGGTTCACTTTGACGAGGTTTGGGACGACGAAGGTTGTAAACAGATGTGTGATACATGTCGGCACGTCAAAGGTGTGGAAACCAAAACAGTTGTCCTGTTGTGTTACTTCATCTGATCATCTGCACCAAGTAGATCTTCACCATCAGCCGTCTCCCTCTCCAGACTACGCTAGTGTGGACATAACTCAGCATGCAAGGCAGGTGGTGCACATCTTGGAGCTAGCAGGCTCCATGGAGGAGAAACTGACCCCCCTGAAGCTGGTGGAGGCGTGGATGGGGAAAGGTCCTGCTAAGAGAAGGAAAATGATCCAGACCACGACGCTGTCTCGACTGCAGGCTGAAGCTGTGATCATTCACCTGCTGCTCCAGGGATACCTCAGGTGACTTGTTCTGGTTTCACCATGGATGCAAATAAAGCTTTATTCATATCCATCAGGGTCATGGTTGATACCAGCTCTGCTCATGAAGTATTAGGTCAGCTGTCTCCTAAAGCAGGGATGCTAGTAATCTAGATACATTTAAGTCATTATTATCAAACCAAAGCTTCAGTGATTTTTTTAATGTGACAACAAAGTTTGATGGAAAACTCTTGTTTTCTTAATAAGCTACACGAGCATTGTGTTTAATTCCTGTTTGAGGAACTGATTCCTAACGTGTCTTCAGTTTCTCATCGGTGTTTCTCCTTCGGGGTTTTCCCATTTTTTAGCTGGAACATTTTCTTTGTCCCTTATATAAGGACATTGAGTATTGTTGGAGGTTTATCCTCTGGAGGCTAACACACTGGTTCTTTCTGTGCCGGCTCCTGACTCGGCGCTGACAGCAGCTCTGATGGGTCGCGGGTCTGCCCAGATCCAGATGAAAATCAAATAATGCTCTCTGCTCTTTGGTGAAGTTTATTTCTCTGGTTCTGTTAACCTCAGAGAGGACTTCAGCTTCACTCCATACACCACCTACTTCTACATGAAACTGGGCCGCAAAGCTCCTCTGCTGAAGAACCAGGCTCACACAATCAGCATGACGATGACCGGCTGTAGAGATGGACCTTCTGGGGTGAGTATTTACTGCTGTTGTCCCCAAAGCTGAGAGCCACTCAGCCTGATGGACAACACATCAAAAAGGTGTTGTTCTAAAGGAACCCGCTAAACGCTCATCAGCCCTTTTATCAGGTACACCCCTCTGGTACCAGGCTGGACCCACTTCTGTCTTCAGAGCCATCTTAATTCTTACGTGTCATGGATTCAATGAGGACATGGAAGTGTTCCTCAGAGGTTCTCGTCTATGTTGACATGACATCACACAATTTCTGCAGCTTTTACATTTATGATCCGAATCCCTCAAACCAAATAGAGATGGTTGTGGGTTCAAATCCCTGTAGATTTGCACTATCTGAGAAACTCAGACCCGCCTGTCTGGCACCAACGGCTGTGGCCATGCTATCTATGAAGTCCCTTAAATCTGTGTTCTTCTTCATGCCGATGCTTAGATTGAACTCCCATCAGGTCATCAATGCTTCGGGCTGCTGTGATAGGCTGATTAGATGTTTGTGTTAACGAGCATCTGTACCTAATAAAGTGGCTGATGACTGAAGCTGATAAGACCAGATGTTTCAGAGTCCGATCCTGGAGGCTAAACCTGAACCCAGACTGATGAAAAGGTTTCCCTCCAGCTGACTCTGTCATCATCAGATCAGTCTAACTGGGTCAGAACCACAGACTCTCCTCTGTTTGACGTCTCTCTCCTGTCTGGTTTCTCTAACTACTCTTCTCCTCTTCTGCATTTGTTTTGTGTTTTCTTGCATTTTCTAAACCTTTTATAAAGGTAAGTGAGACTTTGTGACGGATGTAGTGTTTGTGATTTTAAGTCCTTATTGTGATCATTTCTGTCATCCTGTTTAACATCCTGTAGAATAAAACTCACCAGCATGTCACCAACACTGTTGGTTCTTCTGTCTCTAACCTGAGTGCCAGCAGAGCCTCTCTTAGGCATCAGCAGAATGTGTTTAGAGGATCCTGAGCAGCGTTTACTCCCACTTATAAATATGACCATGCCTTAGATGGAAGGGAACTCTCTAGAGGCTTTTGGTTGGGAGGGAGAGTGAGCTGTGGTGCATTTAGAAGCTCCTGGGAGAAACAAAACCTCCGACGGCAGAAAATTAGCCATTGAAATTTATATTTGAAAAAAAGTCTGATTAGAAATCACACTATCCACAGCTAGCTGGAGTGGCTCTGAATCAGTTTGTAGTGAGAAATGTGACATCGGGTCAGTCAGTGGGGCAGCTTACAGGATTGTGAGAATTTTCTTGTTTCAGTTTACTGTAGTTACAAAGTTTCTTAATTGTGTTTAAATTTAGTCTCCAGCTCCTCAAAGTCTCATATTTCTTGATTTTATTGACTCTGAGAAACCAAACCAAGAAAGGATCCTGAAGGGATCTAGAAGGGTTCTAGACCGGTTCCATTGACTCCTGTTCCAAAATTATTTGGTGAGAAATTTTGAGGCAGTTTGTTTTGAACAGCTTCCAAATCCCAGTGTCTCAAGACCTTGGCCTGAAAACTCATACGTGTTCATTTCCTCGTTTGATTGTTGTGAGACCGTTCCCAGTTTGTTCCCACCAGTCTCCACCACTGAGATCCTGGTTCTGACGTTCCTGCCGTGGCGGGTTGGAAGCAGGTGGGGGGAAGAAGGGCTGGCTTCATTCTGTACCTACAGAAGTCCAGGTCTGAGGCCACCAGCTGTTGAACTATGAACATAAGATTTGACCCAAATCTGTTTGGGTTCAATTAGCACCGTCTGACCCAGTCAGCAGAACCTTTGACTCATTAAAGCTTATTAATAAAAGTGTGGCTTTCAGATCAGTCCTGTCGTCTCTGATGCTGGTCAGTAGGGCCAGGTTTTTGTTCTCTCATTTTAGAACCCAGACACTCATGGTCACCCGTGCTTGTTTCTGTCCTGAGATCAGGTGGGTGGTGTTGGTGATGTTGCCTCCATCTTGGCCACTGGGTGTCAGTAATGGTTCCACCTGGTCCTTCATCAGGTTGAATCATAGACTTTACATGTAGGAACCATGAGCTGATGAAGTCCTTTCCTATGGAGCCTAAAGCCACACCCATCTATGTCCGGACCATCTGTCTCCTACTGCCAATAAACCAGAAGTGAATGAGAGTCTGTGGAGCGATAAATTATTTGCTGATCCCATTTTATACGTGCCATGGATTTCACATATGATGTATGTGAATTTTAAAAACATGTTTTGATGCCAAGAAAGCACTTATAAAGTTAAAGTCCCACAGTCATCTTCACACACTGGTGAAATTCATCTCCACATGCGACCCATCCCTGTGGGGAGCGGTGAGCTGCAGCTGTGGCTGTGCTCGGGAACTATTTGGTGGTTTAACCCCCCCAATCCAACCCCTTTAAAGCTGAGTGTGGCTCCCATTTTTTAAAGTGGTATGACCCAACCGGGATTTAAACCCTGATCTCCCAGTCCCAGGGCGGGCGCTCTACCACTAGGCCTGTCGTTATTTTAGACAGGCGGCAAAAGTTATTTTATTGATGCCATTGAACCAGATATGAAGAAGACGTGAAAAATGGTTTAGCGAGCTTCACATCCTGCTTTCAGGATGACAGAAGGAGCATTAAACATGGAGAAAACCACTACAAATCTGGCCATGTGGTAAGTAGCAGCTACGCTGGGGAGAAGAGATTCTGCGATGGTGTCATATATGCGACGTCTGATTTGTAGTCACGTTAATTACGAATTTTTACAAGTTAATAAATCTCAAATTATGTGACAAACAGTCAAAACTATAATTAATTTTCTTTTAAATTGAAGTACAACACACATGTGATTCAAGGCAAAGTGGATTAGAAAATAGCCCCGTTCACTTACGCTCATCTTCCGTTTTTCCGGGGACCCGCGAGCCGACCAGAAGGGGTGGAGACTTGGGCTCCCTGTTGAGGCTTAGTTTGATTTTTAATTGATTTTTGAAGATGAGTTGGTAACATTTTGCTGCTTCTAAACCTAAACAGACTTTTTAAAACCATCATCAAATTTTTTAATAATATAAACTTTTGCTTTTACTTCTCAACATTATTGGATTGTGAGATTTGTTTACGCGATGAGATTCATATAGTTATGCCCTAAACAGAGCTGCTGCTTCAGCTGTCTTTCGTTGTGTGCTAGTTTAATTCCCTGCCCTGAGAGCAGCTGGGTTAGCTTTCTGGGATCTGTGACTGGCTGTTGCTGTGAAAAAGGAACTGGAGGGGTGTCTTCAGTCCAGACCTGTCCAGTCTGGGTCCTACTTGTCCCCTTTGTTCACTCCCCAGGTAAAGACTGTTGTTAATGACCAACAGGTAAAAGCTGCAAGTGGCCAGGGCAAAGCCAAAGAGGGAAAGAGGTCAGGTCAAAGCTCTGGAGACCCCCCCGTGTCCAAGAAAGTCAAGACACAGCTTTCATAGACTTCCATCCACCAGAGGACCAGTCTCCAAAGTACAGTCCATCCTTCTTTACTCTTCTGTTGGCATGATGCTGTCCTGCTTCTCACTTCAAGCTTCAGACTGAACGTTTTAAATCCGGGGGGATTTAGAGAAAAACAATTTAGATTTGATTTAAAAGCTCTGCTCTCATAGAGGATGTGTGTCTGTGACCTACCAGAGTGTAGCTGCTGACACCAGAGTCACATTATTACCTTAGATCTGACCCTTTATCACCTGATTAAACTCAGACTCGTCACAAGAGTCCATCTGACTGAAGCTTGACCTTTAACCCTAACATTTCGTCGCTCTACTGACTCTCCTCTCGCTGACAGCGTGGAGCAGTAAGGCTCAAAGTGTCTGCTTTAGAAGACCTGGTTCTGGTTCTGTGAGCCCATCTGGACCTGTGCTCTTCACTAACTCTGAGTTCCATGGTTTCAGGATATGTCTGCTGTTAAAGGAAGTAAGGAAGAGATCAGCGGGACCTTTGACCCTGCTCCCTTTAGGATCAGCTGTTCCACACCACCCAAACAGAAACCAATCAAAGAGCAGAAGAACCTCTCGAGAAGACGGCAGCTGAAGCTGGACAGAGACACAGAAGCAGCAGAACCTGTCCCCAGATCTGGACAGGAGGCGGTCTACAGGAGACCACTCATGTCTGAACACATTTGTGAAGTGCAGTTGGTTCATCATGTTGGTATCAGTCAGCAAGCACCCGCAGATCAGACCAGAGCCAGTAAGAAACCCAGGTCGGCCAGTTGTCAGGGAGTCCGCAGGAATCCTCAGAGCCCCACCCCTTCTCAGGCTTCCTTCATGTCCGACACAGCAGCCGAGGAGCTCTGTGACCTCAGGAGCTACTACAGCAAACAGCTCAGGAGAATCAATTACATTTCCCTTGAGCACCTCGGGCAGCCTGCAGAACCAGGGCCGCTGTCCTGCATCAGGGAGCCTCTGAGGAGCCTCCGACTGCCCTGTGGGCTCACAATCACCCAGACGGCTCGGAGCCTTTGGACCCGGGTGAGAAGCAGAAGGAAACGGGTCTGACTTCCTTCTTTATAAAAAATTATATTTTTATATGAACATTATTATTCTCCAGTAAAACTGCAGCCTGAACCACTTGGAATTCTGGGAAGTTTTTTTTTCTACATCTTTCAGATCACATGGCAGTTTACCTTCGACCCAGAGCGGTTTTAATGTTTAATTTCCTGTTCTAGTCTCACATTTCTGTTGTTTTCTGAGAATGCCATTTAGATATTTTTACTTTAATTTCTAACCTGGGAAACAAAAACATCTCAGTTTTCTTCTCAGTGGCCCTGGAGCACCGTCATAGAAGACTGAGTTGTGAGGTTTTTCCCATAAGATGATCCACAGCTGCACAAGTCAGGGGAGTTGTGTAGCAGGCCGCTGCCTGAAATCAGAACCTGATGTCAGACTGGATGTTGACGTTGAGTTGTCTGAAAGTTTCTAGCTGCTGTATATTAGATTTGTTATAGTTGTTCCTAAATAAACGTGTTAATCCTGCCTCATTTTCTCTTTGTCTTTTAAATGAGCTAACATTAACTTGAAGCTGTAACTTGTGATGGGGCACCATCCTGTTTCAGTGTCGGTAAAGACTTGGTTGCACCTGGGAGTTGCGTGAGGCTCATGTTGGGGTTTCCTCTCTCTGGGCTGTGTAGCGACATGAATGGCCTCATATGTGTGACCCAAAGGTCACACTTCCCCAGCTAGGTCGAGCTGTGACTTTTGTTCGACAGATTATCCATCAGGAGCCGGGATGTCTGCTAAACACCATCTTTTATTTGTCTGCTGTTCCGTCCAAAGGTGAAGGACACTTCAAAATTTTAAAAATAATTTTAATAAACTGATTTTACTGCTATTACAATCATATAATAATCATCATAAATAATCATCATGGTTCAGTATAAATGTATTTAATTACTGACATGACTTATTATTCTTTGGGTTAATAATAATTAATATTTATGATAATCAGTAATGTGTCATCAGGAACCAGAAGGTCATTGACACGTACACCTCATGCAGGACTGAATCCAGAGTAAAAGTTAACTTGCTCTCACATGTCTGCTCCATAACAAAAAGCTTTCTGATGCTGAGAGGGCGTGTTCTGAGGTTTTGTTAAAACTAAAATCTCAGCAGCTCGAGTTCAGTTCTTGAACCAAACAGAGGACGAGGGACGGTCGCCTGAATGCTCACTAAGCTGTTCTGTCGTGCCGATAGAATTGCTTCGAATAAACGCACCTGTAACCAGCTGACGCAAAACTCCTTCAGAGTTATTGATTTTGAGACGCAAATAGTTTCATCAGTCGTGACCCGGAGACATCTCAGGACCGATTTGAGTCGCACTAAGGTCCTTCTACCAACCTCGTGCTCGGAGGACACCGTCTCCACCTGACATCTCGGATCCACAGAGGGTCTCCTGAACTGGGTGAGGTAGACACTTGCCGACAGATGGTGTCTGTTGCTGTTCTCTCTAAGAAACCATAAGTTAGCTGCTAAACAATATTTTTCACCCAGAACGCGTTTCTCTCTCTGAAAGAAATCATCCGAGATATCATCCACACATCCAAACCTCGCATTTCATTTTAGTTTTTCATTCAGACACAGGTAAAGCTTTTAATACCAAGATCAATATCAAGCTGTTACAAATTGTCAGTTAAATTGTCATCTTTAAAATTGTCAGTAATAAATTCTTAACTTTTTAAACCTGACTCTTCTTTGAAATGAAACACATAAATAGTGTATATTTGGTTATTGAATAAGCAAAGATTCCATTAAGTCTTCTGTTTAATAAATAAACTTTTGCTATTAATTTAAATATCTTAAATTAAAAATTAATCTTTGGATTAAATATAGACCAAGCCCGTTGGTGTATGAGCTTCTATTGATTATATTAATATCCTAGATATTTATATATGATAGAAGCTTCATTTGCTAACTTGTTTGATCTTCTTCAGAATCGAACAAAGCTGATAGCAAACAGCGTTAATTTTAGTATGCAGTTTAGCTACAGCTGCTATCCTCCAGCATGGGTGCGTTTAAGATTTGAGAGGTTTTGTCTTTTTTCCTCAGGTCCTCAAACTGTTTTTACACCCATCACCACTGATTTCTGTCCCAGTTCCCAGCATTATCCAGCTTGTTTTTTTTATTAAAAAAAAGACAAATTGTTTATAAAACACTAAAGGTGATACAACCGATTCGGTTTTCAGAGATCCCTAAGCAGATTACTATTTTATTTAAGTGTGTAGCAACATTAAATCAGCTGTTTTAGTTATGTTGGTATAATTTTTATTGAGTGTAAGGATTTCTCGTGTTTCAGCACCAAGGTCAGCTCCATGTTCCTGATGTTCTGTTCTCAGCATTTGAACCATTGACATAGAAATATAGATTTGAACTCAGCTTTCCAGTTCAGTATTACAGAACATTTTACGTGTCAGCTCTACTTAAAACAATTTGTAACATTGTTATAAACAGTTTCTTAAAACGAATGAAACAAAGACCACAAAGGAAAAAAATTAACAAATTGGAACTTTAAAAATGAAAACCACAGTTAGAATAAGTCCAATGTATTTGTAAAATAAATATCTAACATAACAGATTTTAATATTCAGTACCAACAAGAAGTAACTTTTTGACCTGCAAAGTGTTAAAAAACTTTGTTGGCGGCAAATATTCAGCGACGAGCCGAATACGATTATTTAAAGTGGGTTATGACAGATGTGTACAGTGGTGTATCATCAGCATAGCAATAAAACACCATGTTGTCTGATAACAGAGTGGAGCAGGGGTATGTACAGATTGAACAGAAGAGGACTAAGAACTGGTCCATGTGGAACCCCATAAATAACGTGTGCTGTTGCTGAATAGATCCAGAAGATATACAGCAGTCAACAAATCCCCATACCAACTGGAGTTCATGTAGTATGTATTTGACTTTTACTAAATTATTTAATGTTAATGAAGCTCTTTTGATTGTATTAAATTTTAGAAGCACTTTGCTGCGTTGTGTTGACAGTGGTGTGAAACATGCTGTGGCCTTGAGACACCTGTACCTTTAAGAGCTGAGCTCCAGCAGAGCAGCAAGTCCTGCAGGTAATTATTTATGAATATCAGATGTGTGGTAGAGAAACCACCATCATCACGGAAATGCATTAGCTAAAGGACCATCAGCTTTCTTTTCTTTTCACATTTCTATATATCTAAATGCCCTAGATTTATTTCTCAGAACCTTCTGGACCTGAACCAGTTGAAGGCTCATTTCCAGTCCTGTTGTGGGTCATTCAGCTCCAGACCCCTTATTATTATTATTATTATTATTATTATTATTATTATTATTATTATTATTATCAACAATAATAATAAATGTTTCTTGATTATTTTAATTTCTCTGCCTTCAGCGGGATCCTCCTGAACCTCTGACCCAGAGCGGTGTGCCTTGCTCCATGGCTGAGGCAGGGACGACTTCCTGGTCCCAGTGAATAAGCAGAAATATAGAGGAGAGGGGGGAGGAGGAGGGGGAGGGACACGAGCAGTGCATCATGACGAACCGGACCGAGCCTTCCGACCCTCCTGAAGCAGCAGAGGACCTCCGACACGCTGGGAGCGGTTCTGCTTCTCATGTTCATCACGTTTCATCTGATTCCTGAAGCGGCGGGGGGCTCGTGAGGGGAGGGGTGGAGGTTTGTCTACTTCAGTTGTTTCTCCCTCCGGAGGGGAGGGAGGAGGGAGATGGCCGCGGGTGGAGCAGGAATAGGGGACACGGTGGAAGAATGCCGCGCCGAGGTGGAGCGCCTCAGCAGGGAACTGGCAGAGGCCAACCGGGAGAAGGTTCGGGCCGCGGAGTGCGGACTGATGGTTCTGGAGGAGAATCAGAACCTGAAGCAGCAGTACGCGGACCTGGAGGCCGAGCAGGAGGCTCTGAGGCTGCAGCTGGAGCAGCTACAGGAGGTGGGCTCAGCAGCGGTAGGACTCCTTCCTCCTCCAGGCTGATGAGCTGTTCTGGTCTTGGCTCAGTTCTGGTCTGATCTGCTGGTGGAGCTGGTGCTTATGTGGATTTACCTGTGAGTAAGCTCCACCTGCAGGACCAGACACCTCAGACGGGACCAGGTCCAGCTGCTGCTGCTAATCTGGTTTATGTGAGAGGCCAATGTTTATTGGTTACACACACACACACACACACACACACACACACACACACACACACACACACACACACACACACACACACACACACACACACACACACACACACACACACACCATGGATTTATAAATAAAACCAGGATATTTTGAGGCCATCAAATTAAACTGAAATGATTAAATGTCTGAGATTCTGTAGATTTGGGCAGAGTGAGTCAATTTACCATCACCAGATAAACCACTGGGACGGCCAGATCCTGGTTCTGGTGGCTAATTATAACATAAATCAGTGTCTCAAGACAATTCCTTATATTTAAAATAATTTAATAGACATTTTGAAGAAGAAGAAAAGATCTTTTCTATAGCGCCTCTCAAGATAAAAATCACGAGGCGCTTCACAAATACAAAAAATGTAAAGATATAAAAAAGAATTTAGAAAATGATTAAAAACTTAAAATGAGCAAAAAATAGACAATTGTGATTACAAATGTAAAGAGAGAGAGAGTGAATAGATAAGAGGGAAATCAGTGGATCCTGAGGAAGGTGGAATAGGTGGGGAGAGCAGAATAAAGAGAGAGTGGTGAAGAAGGTCATACAAAAGCCAGCTTGAACAAGTGAGTCTTCAGCTGCTTTTTAAAGGAGACCACTGAGTCCACTGATCTCAGGCTCAGGGGGAGAGAGTGCCAGAGTCTGGGGGCCACAGCAGCAAATGATCTGTCACCTTTGGTCTTTAGCCTGGTGCTGCACAACCAGTAGGCTTTGATCACTGGACCTCAGGGACCTGCTGGGGGTGTAGGGACTAAGAAGATCACCAATGTCAGATGTGCTTGTCCATGTAAGGCCCTATAGACCAGAACCAGGATCTTGAAATGAACCCTGAAGTTGACTGGCAACCAGTGAAGCTGGAGGAGAAGCGGGGTGATGTGGGCCATTTTGCAGGTTTCAAATCTTATTAAATATTCAAAATGTAGATATTCCCTTGATCCTGTGTGTTTGTGTCAGAGATATTAATAAATCCTACCTGTTGCTGATAGCATCCTGAACAGCCTTTCTTCAGAGAAAGAGCTTTTGGTCTTCAAAACTGACGAGCTAACGGCTAGTTCAAATCCATACAAGACCAAATGTATTTGATGATCATTTGCACCACTGAGTACTGCATTCTAGGTCATTTACATAGAATTCTGCTATGTAAATGGTTTTCTGTGGTAATGTACATGGAATTATGTAGTTATTCAAGTGGAATTCTGTGGTTGTGTTCATTTTATTCAGTAGTTTTTTACTCATAATTGTTCACATGGAATTCTGAGGTTAGTTACGAGTGTAAATAACCTTGTTTTCTTTTGGAAGACTTAATTCTGGTCCAGTCCACTGCCGCTGTATTTTATAAGGTGAAACAATTTATAGTGCGTTGTCAGAGTTTAAAAAATAAGTGAAATCTAAAAGTTAGAACTTTTTCCGTTACACTCTAGAATCCAAATGCATCAAGCCAATCTATCTGGGCCATACAGGAGGACAGAACACAGATAAAGTAGGGAGAAGAGCAGGTTTTATCAAAACTAGGACCTTATTTCTAAATACTGTTTGATTCCGTATGGCAAGGCTATTTGATTCTAGGCCTGGAGGACCGGTATCCAGCACATTTTAGTTTTAACCCTGCTTCAACACACCTGATTTCAATCAGCAGGTGATTAACAGGCTTCTGCTGAGCCTGATGAGCTTCTGCACAGGTGATTCAACCACTGAATTTAGTGTGTTGGAGCAGAGAAACCAATAAAACATGCTGGACACCGAGGCCCAGAATGGAATAGCCCTGCTGTATGGGATGTTTGCGAACAGTAACTCTACTGGTTTGACTGTAGAGAACACTTCAGTTTCAAATCCGTAAATATTTGATAGGAGGAGCTATTTATATTTGTACTCAGTGGCCTTCAATTCTGCAGATTGTCAGGAAGAGGAAATGGGTCTGACCTTGTATCCGCCCACAGCTGTTTTGTGTTTTCTTTGTTATATTATTGTTGTCATTTAATCTGATTGTAAAATGTTTAAAATGTATTTTTTTTCCTAAAACTTCCAGGGACAAATTACAGTAAACCAATAAAAGGAACTTCATAACACACATTTCCCTCTGTGTGTGTGTTTGGAACTTGAACTGTTTTTGAGCACTTAGTCAACTTAGATGTTCAAAATATAAATCTCTTATTTCAGCCAAATAATTTAAAACATCCAATAAAACACCAAAAGGAACAAAGTAATGAATAATAGAAGATATTTTGACCTGCGGATGTTTTTTTAAACCATGCCTGAGTCGGTTCTGTAACGTGTAACGTCCAGAAAGAGTCAGTTTTCACCTGCAGATTGACCTACATGCCACCAGTCATCTACAGACCTAATTCCACCCTCTAAGGTGCATTTTACATTCTATCTTCCAACAAGCCACAAGATTCTGCAAACCTTGTTGACATTTGAGGGGGAACAAGATGTCAGCCTATGTTCCCAAACAAAGCCTTCTTTTGATAAGACCGCAGGATCGCTCACTCTTATCTAAGACTGGTTTTTATTCACAGCACAAGATGGATGAACTTTCTAAATTAAATCATATAATGAACAATAAGGGTTGAAGAACAATTGCAATGTTTTGAATAACCTGTGCCTAATTCAATGAAGTTGAAATGAATTTTTATATTACAATGGCACATTTTGATGTGTTGTTGTATGTTTTTCCTCCACCTGACCCAATCCTCATGTGAACCCTCTGATCTCTATGAAGGTAGCGTGACTCGGGTTGCAAATGACCACAGTCACCAATTCTTGTCATGTGTCTATGCCTATGTATGTATGTCTGATCTCAGAATTGTGTGTACTGAAACTCTAATTTCCCTCTGGGATTAATAAAGTATCTTTGAATTTGAATTTGAATTGAATGATCAGTAATGTTTGGTTTAACAAGTGAATCATTATCTACACTCAGACACAATGTTCATAAGATATAAATTAAAGTTAAAGTAATGTCACTGCACATAGATATTTTCTTACCCACAAATCAGAGCATCCTGTATCTGAGAAGGCGTGATGTTCTGAGGGTTGTTTGTTATCACCTCTTAACATGGCACCTCCCGATTGGCCAGGTAAATCATAATATGAGAATATTAAAACAGGATCACTTGCAGAGTGATTCAGCATTCAGTTAGTTTTGAGCAGAACTCCGGACTGGCCACCAGAGGAAACTATAACCATCGCATCGCTTGACAAGCTGTCGACAAGCTAAAAGCTGCCTACAGCTGACACAGCAAAACGGTTCCTTCAGCTATTCAGAAACAGCTGCTCTAGACGCAAACTAGTTCCAACCTGTGTGCCTGGCAACATCTCTGGGGCCTCATTTATCAAGCTTGCTTACGTACAAAACGGGGTCGGAAAACTGCGTAAGCAACTTTCCACGCAAACTTTGGGATTTATGAAAGAAAACATAGCGGAAAAATGCACGCAACTTTAAGTTGACTAAGGACCTTGCTTACACACATGTTGGACATGGAGAACACCTGCAGTGCTGCTGCTGAGAAGGATACAATTATGAATTCCTGCAGCATCATCACTTGTACTGCTTCATTTTCACACAGAACAAGACCCCCCACACGCACACACACGCACTCGTACACAGACATGCGCGCACACTCACACACAAGTGCGCGCGCGCACACAGCCTGAAGCACAGAATGCGGAATGCAGAATATCAGCAGGGGGACAGATTTGAGACAGAATGTCATGCGTCTGTGACAGTGTGTATCCTGTCACTGTGACCCAACTGATCATGCGCCCTGGCTACTTGAACAGGGGAGATCTCTGTTTGGCTGACTGGTTAGTGCGTGTGACGTGCACCTGGGAGTCTGGGGATCAAATCCCGATTGGACCATCGTTTTTATATCCGCCACAGATCTCTCTGAAGAATTCACAGCATTGACGGCTTCAGCAACGCTGTGCCACTCCGTGGATTTTCTCTTATTTGTTTTGCAAAAGCACTTCCTTTCATTTCTCCACCTCACCCACAAGTACCTCAATTTCTGCTTGTGAAATAGCGCTTCCATGATCTGCCTTGATCTACGGTCGCCATCGTCATTGGCGGAGCACTGCAACAGCTGGCTTATGTATGTGCATGAGATCCACAAGGCACTTTGCATTGACTATTTATGGCAGTAAGTGGGCGTGGTGAGGGCGGGATGTGACCAAATGCAGCTGAGAAATTTTTTAGATAGTTTATGATTTATGAAGCGGAGATTGCGTGCAGCTGTGCGTACTCCATGTTTGATAGATCACAAACCTACTTGGCGTAAGTACTTTTTTTTGCAGAGCTCAAGTACGGTTTTAGTAAGGATTCTACGCAATGTTTGATAGATGAGACCCTTGGACTGGAGCGTGGGTGCTGCGGTTAATCTACTGAACCTCGGTGCCTAGAGGTCATCCGACCTTCCTGACCTCCGGATTCGCGAAGAGGGTCTCCAAAGAAAGGGTGAGGTAGACACAGCATGATTGCGTCTGATGCCGTTTGATAAGAACCATCTTCATAGTTTAATGCAAACCAAATTCTTTTCACCCCCAGAACTCAGTTCTTCTAGATACAAGGTTCTGATGAACACACACCATTCAATCACCATAATCACATCCCATTCACTTAGATTCATCCACCACAGTAGTCGTAGTTAACTTGTCAGTTTTAATTGTTTAGAAAATAAATTCTTACCTTTTATAAATTGAATTGATACGAAGTGTGTTTAATCCCTGAAAAAGCAAAGAATCCTAGAATCTTCTGATTAAACATTCAAAGACCAATCAGTGATACTCTATATTTATATAGAATGTCCCAGCTTATTGGTCATAAGTAAAGGTAATATATTAAGCTTAAAAGCAACAATTTTTAACCCTACAAACGCAATAACAACAGTACAAACTTTATAAATGACGTCTGAACATTTTTAACATAAACTACTGGTTTTAAAGACAACAGTAGAGTAGAACATCTCACTGGGATCTGGACCTAGAATCAATAGGATATTGGTGTTTTAGGTGCCACCTGTGACACCCTGATGGTGGTGTTTTTCATGTGTCCTCAGATGTCTTGTAGGCAGCTTCTGAGGGTGTTTTGGTGCCTTTAGTGATCTTCAGACTTCTCTTCCCACTGGAGCAGTAAATACCTGTTAAATCACTTTCTGTCCATCAGGAACAACCCATCCACTCAATGGAGATGTTCAAACTTAGATGTGTGTTGAACAACTGATCGCATCTGGAGGATTCACCTCATTCTCTCTGGTTCTGCTCAGGCATTCAGCCAGGCGTACTCTACTCAGCGTAAGGTTGCTGAAGATGGAGAAACCAACGAGGAGACTTTGCTCCAGGAGTCCGCCATGAAAGAGGCGTACTACATGGGACGTCTCCTGGAGCTCCAGTCAGAGCTCAAGCACAGCCGGGTCACGACCTCCAACACGCAGGCTCACAATGAACACCTGAGCACACTGCTGCAGGAGCTCAGGGAGGTACAGCGACGTTTTGAACTTGTCCCTGTTTCTCTTTAGTCACAATCTGTTCCATCTTTCATTCATAAGCGTTAGGCTAAGAGTCCTTTGTTGCTTCGTCCGTCTCAGCAGAGCCACCAGGAATCGGACCTGCAGCGCAGCCGGATGCAGGCAGAGCTTAAGGAGTACAAGTTTCGTGAGTCTCGACTTCTCCAGGATTACACAGAGCTGGAGGAGGAGAACATCTCTCTGCAGAAACTGGTCTCAACGTTAAAACAAAATCAGGTACACAGAACACAAACACAGACAGTTTCTATACATTACACCTTTTACAAAGAGATCATCAGCAGCAATAAGTTTCAGCATCCAGCATTCAAACAGCATTTCTGCTAGAAATTCTAGTTTGTGCTAGTTTCTGCTCTTCCTAACATAGTATCTAATATTGCTTTATCAACGCTTTAACTTTGAGTGCCTAGAAACATTTCTTTTAGCTATTTAGTCTTAAGTTAAATCTCAATTTTTATCCTCACTTTGGTCTGTGTTTGGTCCCCAACTTCTCCCAAAGTTCTCTCCACTTTCTGACCCACAGATAGTGAAATTGGTCCCAGATGGGTTCCAGATGTTTGCAGTGACTTTGAGACTAAGTCCAAGAAATTAAAAAGATGTTTAAAATTCCAAAAACAGAAGAATCAGACCTGCAACTCTCTCAGGAAACTGAGAACTCTGTAGAACATGTTTGCATGCTCTTCCAAAGCACACGTGTGTTTCCTTCCTCTCAACAGGTTATTCAGTAGTTCTCAATGGGCTTTAGGTTTGAGTGTGAATGGTTGTCCACCTCCTCTTGATGTTATTGACACGTCCAGGTGTAACCTTGCCCTTTCTCAGGAACCAGGGTTAGGGGTAGGTGATCTTAAATGAGACTGCGTAGGTCAGGCATGGTTGGGTATGGGTTAGAGTGCTGAAGGGACATCGCGGCTGTTCTTCCAGGAGTATCAATGAGGTCAGGGGCTGATGTAGGTCCAGATGGTCCAAGGATCTTCTTAGAAATACTCAAATCTGATTCTAAATGGTTCAGTGTTACCCCCAATAGCCTGTAAACCCCAATAGATGCACCATGTCATTAGTTTTTAAATATTATTTATAAAACTAAGTCCACCTGATTACTTAGTGAAAGCCTTACTGGCAGCAGGAACCTGGCTTTTAGTGATTGGTGAAAAAGTGTAGGTTCGTTCCATGTTAAGGTCAGGACTGATCGGATCAAAATGTGAAAAACGTGGTGTATCAGATATTTATGATTTCTACAGTGTTTTATTGTGTTTAAAGTACAGCTAATACTCACCATTCTGCCCGGACCCTGCTTCAGGTGGAGTATGAAGGCCTGAAGCATCAGATCAAGGTCCTAGAGGAGGAGATGGAGCTCCTGAACAGCCAGTTACAGGATGTGCTGCGCCTGAAGGACATGGCAGAAGCTCAGCTGGAGGAGGCTCTCCAGGCCCTGAAGAGCGAGCGCGAGCAGAAAAAACACCTGCGCAGAGAGCTGGTCCACCACCTCAGCATGTGTGATGTTGCGTACACCGGCAGCGCTCATTTGATATTCAGCTCAGCCCCCCCCAGCGGCTCAGCCACCCCGGCTTCTCTGCTCTCACCAAACACAGACGAGCCCAACAGGTGGGTATTCTAGATCATATCAAACAGACGTTCATGCGATTCTATGCTAAGAAAGTTCTTCGTTTTCATCTGCCAGGTGTAACGGCCACTCACCGCTGGGGCCTGGAGTAGAGATTGCAGCAGGGCTGGTATCCAGGACTCACAGAGAACTTGGACCAGAGGGCGGGGCTACTGCAGATCTCTTTAGTGAGATAAACACCACAGAGGTTCAGAAGCTCAAGCAGCAGCTGATGACGGTGAGCATAGGTGTCATTTTAACCGGGGACGCCGGGGACATGTCCCCGGCAAAATTTGTGATTGGCAGCTGTGTCCCCCCCACTTTAAAAAATGCCTGCTGATGAGGATTTTTGTTTTACCAGCTCAGATCTTATACCAGGGGTCGGCAACCTGTTCCCATCAAAGAGCCATTATTACCCGTTTCCCACAGTAAAGAAAACACTGCAGCAGCCGCGGTGTTGTGGGCGGGGCCTAGCCTCAGACAGCAGAGAGCTGCTCACAACAGGTGACAGCAGCCAGTACCGGTCGCTTGCATGGGCGTCGCACCCGTGGGGGATTCAACACCCACACTTTTCCAGCTGTTTTGCTCACCTCCACACCAGTCTGGTTTCTTTACGTCACACTCACTCTGTTTGCCTCATCTCCTTCTTCACCTCCCGCTTCTGACAGCCGATGTCGGGTTTCCAGGAGAGCAGGAGAGGGACGGACGGAAGAGCTCAACTGAATTCATAATTTTACATCTTGACATTAGCTGTACAAAGTCTGAGTTTGATAACGTGAAGAACAACAATTTGCAGAGGTTTATAACAGGCACGGCGCCAGGTTTTCATTTTTGGGTGGGCCACGGTAATTTTGGACGGACCTTAATAAGCAGCGACTTAAGTGAAGCAGGCAGGTCGGGCTAGAAAATTTCATTTAAAAAGACGTCATAAATGTGTTCCCCCGTCATTTTTATTTCTAAAACATGAAATAAAAACTCACAATTTAATTTTCATTCATTTGTCATTAATATGTAGTCTACACCCGTGCGTTAAGTGGACCAACTTCCAGTAAAAGCAAAGCATCCAGCCCACCTCTCCAAATGCGTGAAATGTGCATCAGCCGCTAGTTAGGCGCGCCGCGCGCTCCGTCAGCTACGTCAGCCCAGACAAGAGCAGAGCAACTAGAGAAAGAATAGAGGATAATTGTGTCTGGATGTGGATGGAGATTACATTTTACAGCAGCCTGATCATCATTTAAATACGTAAACCATCACCTGTCTTCTAGTCCACGCTATCAGCATTATTTTAATTGGTGTGTGTGTGTGTGTGTGTGTGTGTGTGTGTGTGTGTGTGTGTGTGTGTGTGTGTGTGTGTTTTCCACTTCAAACACTGGTCTAACTAACCAGACCAGCGTGTCCAGTAACACATTAATGTTACAATTAAACAGTTTCACTTCATGTAGGCTAGGAACATTTCACCTGCCGTGGCCCGACCGCTTCTGCTCCACATAAACTTTGTGCGTGCAAATGTCTCTACGCATCATGCGTCTCCATATTAGAGACGGGAACAAGCGCTGTTCAGCCAAAGTTTCATAATTTCATAAAAAGAACATTTTTCCAAGTGACACATCCCTCAGAGAGACCGGGTTTCCAGAACGCTTCAGTGGGAGGAAATCTTATCGCATGGCCGTGGTTCTGCGCTGCGCTGCGAACCCCAGATCTTCAGCTCACTGTCCACCGTGGGTGCTCCGAGCCACGCTGAACACAGTGTCCAGTATAAAGCTCTGATGTTCTGATGGGAATATTTTACCTCCGCGATGTGCGTTAACGATTAAAATGTCAGCTCATCCATGCGCATCAGTGTGCGTCGGGGTAATTCTTTCAAAACAACCAACATCCTTGAGTTTATCCGTCAATATGTGGCAAGGTGGAGAAACGAGGGCCCGGGCGGGATTCGATCCCCAGACTCGCAGGTGAGAGTCAAACACTCTAACCAGTCAGCCAAAGGGACAACTCCTTGGCCAAGTAGCCAGGGCGCATTATCGGGACACTGTGACAGGACACACACTGCCACACCTGATTATGAAACTTTGGCTGAATAGCGCTTGTTCCTGTCTCCAATGTGGCGACAAATCCAGGAGCCTGTCTGAGGAGAAGCCCAGAATCTGACATCCTCGTCAGCTCAGAATGCGCATATGATTACGCACAAGCGTGACGCGTCAACCCGGTCTCACAGTAAGACCGGGTTGGACCTGTTCAGGTTTACACAGACAATCTTTACATTTAGAATTAGCCTACAGATGTAAAATTAATGCAGTAAAATATAAAGCTTTTTATTTAAATATCCATTCATTATTTTACAAGCACAGAGAGCCGCATCAGATGGATGGAAGAGCCGCATGCGGCTCCAGAGCCGCGGATTGCCGACCCCTGTGCTAGCCTACTTTATTGTCCCCAGCAATTTTTAAACCCCACTCAAGTGTATGGTTATTGTCCCCAGCAATTCTGAAAACAAACTGACGCCCTTGACGGTGAGACAGCCCTTTGGGTAAAAGCATTATAGAAACACATAAATCAGATGTGTTTTCATGAATCTAAATGCATTCGGTTACATTTTAACTGGACAGAATTAGATTACACGAATTTGAATGTAACGAGTCGGTTGAAGCCAACCTCCCAGTGTGGGGGTCACAGCCCTGAACTCTCCGATGACCACTGAGATCTCAAATTTCTACTACTTTTCTTTTTCTTTCATTCCTCTGTGTTTCTTGAGCTTCTTGTGTTTCTTCCTTTGACATTTCTGTTACTCGTGCTTTCTACATCAATACCATTGCCTCTCCTCTTTTAGCTAGGCTAGCAGGGCATGTGATGACTGGTAGGACATCTGTGACTTTGTTCTTAACATTTAACACGGCTCTTCAGGACTTCCATTCTCTGGAGTTACATGGTTGCTGCTGACTTCTTTGTGAGCTCATTGCTATATCCCTGTGGGATCCCAGGGTACTTGTGACTATCCTTAACATCTGCAGTGTTGCCTTCAGGTAGCTCAACCGCTTCAATTTTGATCAATTTATATACAGCAACCACATTTTTCCAGTCTGAATGACCTTCCAAAGCCTTTCCTGAAAATCCTGGTGAGATGGATCAATGAGGTGATGTCTTGCTCATCCCTGGCATACATCTTGATGTCATCCATGGTGGTGGTTGATGACAGCTCCACTCCAGAACCAGTATTCATTGCCACTCTTTGTAATGTTCTGGCTGAGGCAGTTTTGCCCTTTGCAGAATAGTAGAGGGGGCAGGGTTTCTCCTTAAACATGCCACACTTTGCTTTGAATTGGCCTCCAGAGTTGTCGCCCACATTTACATGAAGTTCTTGATGAAAGCTCGTACTGTCCGGTCGAAGAGTAAAACATTCTCATCAGTTCTGACCGTGTTGTTGCTTCAGACTTTAGTTCAGTTGCACAGACTTCTTAGAGTTACTGGATAATGCCCTAGAAGTGGTGCAGTCAAAACAGCCTCTGTCCTATATCTAAGAGAGATTTGTGGAGGGACCATTGCCCCATACATCAACTGTCTATAATAAACACCGTGTTAAAGCATGGACTGGTTCATAAGTGCACTTTGCAAATGGCCACCCTGAGCTCCTCACCATTGGCAAAGAGCATATAAACCTGGGGTATTCACTTCTGGTCCTGGAGGGACCGTTTCAGCGCACTTGATTTCAATAAGCAGGGGTCTCATTTATCAAACATTGCGTAGAATCCTTACTAAAACCGTACTTAAGCTCAGCAAAAAAAAAAAGTACTTACGCCAAGCAGGTTTGTGATCTATCAAACATGGAGTACGCACAGCTGCACGCAATCTCCGCTTCATAAATCGGAGACTAACGAGAAAGTTTCTCAGCTGCATTTTAGTCACATCCCGCCCTCACCACGCCCACTTACTGCCATAAATAGTCAATGCAAAGTGCCTTGTGGATCTCATGCATATACATAAGCCGGCTGTTGCAGCGCTCCACCAATGATGATGGCGACCGTAGATCAAGGCATATCAAGGATGCGCTACTTCACAGAAGCAGAAATTGAGGTACCTGTGGGTGAGGTGGAGAAATGAAAGGAAGAGCTTTTGCAAAATAAATAAGAGAAAATCCACAGAGTGGCACAGCGTTGCTGAAGCCGTCAATGTTGATTTCTTCAGAGAGATCTGTGGCGGATATAAAAAAAATGATCCAATTGGGATTCAATCCCCTGACTCTCAGGTGAAAGTCACGCGCACTAACCAGTCAGCCAAACAGAGATCTGCCCTTGACAAGTAGCCAAGGCGCATGATTAATCGGGTCACAGTGACAGGACACTCACTGTCACAGACGCATGACATTCTGTCTCAATCTGTCCCCCTGCTGACATTCTGCATTCCGTATTCTGAGCTTTAGGCTGTGTGTGTGTGAGTGTGCGTGCATGTGTGTGTACATGCACGTGTGTGTGCGTGTGGGGGGTCTTGTTCTGTGTGAAAATGAAGCAGTACAAGTGATAATGCTGCAGGATTTCATAATTTTATCCTTCTCAGCAGCAGCACTGCAGGTGCTCTCCATGTCCAACATGTGTGTAAGCAAGGTCCTTAGTCAACTTAAAGTTGTGCACATTTTTCCGCTAAGTTTTCTTTCATAAATCCCAAAGTTTGCGTGGAAAGTTGCTTACGCGGTTTTCCGACCCCGTTTGGTGCGTAAGCAAGCTTGATAAATGAGGCCCCAGGTGATTAACAGGCTTCTGAAGAGCCTGATGAGCTGCTGCACAGGTAATTTAATCACTGAATCAAGTGTGTTGGAAGAAACCACTAAAACGTGCTACATACCAGCTCTCCAGGACTGGATTTGAATAGTCCTGGCATTGACCCTTGGTATACACCACGCTCTGCTTTATGCTCATCCTCTCAGGGCTTGTTTTTTGGGTCTGGTGCTATTCCTTGCTTGTTTAATGAATATTATATAGTAAATACGAGAGAAAATGACTCTAAGATAACAGCATGAATGGGATTTTATTCAAAAAGAGCTTTGGACAGACTTACATGAAATCCTGATGGATCTTCAAAGCTACAGTGGCAAATCGGCAGAACAAGCTAACGTAAAACATTTTTTCATGCCTCTTGACAATGTTCCAACATTTTATAGCTATAAATATATTGTAGAGACAAAAAAATGAAGTAGTTCTCTCGCATTTGTCTAAAACCTCAGCCAATTACACAGCTCAGTCCTGATTGGACCATCTGGTTGTCGTTCTCCACGCTTCCCTGGGTCCTCCACTCATTATGCACTCATGTATATAGCAACAGAACACATGTTTGAGTTTTAAAGCTAGCTTGTTTTGCAGATTTGCTATTGCAGCTTCAATATGGGGAAGATGGGGCTTAATCTTGCAGAGCATTAAATGTCAGAAGAAAAATTTTGGATCTTACAGGGAGCTTTTGACGTGATACTAGAAGTGTAGAAATTTCTCTCATCAGAACTCTGACAGCAGCATTCTGGATCAGCTGGAGACTCTATAGAGAAGATTATCAACATCCTGATTACAGAGAATGTCCATGATCAAGTATGGAAGTAATAAATACACCGGCTAGTTTTTGTGCATCACTTTGGGTCAGGATGTTCCAGATTTTATTAACATTGCTCAAATGGAAGAAGGCGGTGCTGTTTTAGAGATAAAGGCTCCTGTTCTATTATTACACCGGGTTTCCTTACACTAGTCCTGTTTTTTGGATAATTGTGATTTGTCATAACCCTGCTGCTTTTAATCAGTTAGTACTTTTTTATTAGAACATATGCTATCATGCAGTGCCTGCTGTGTTCCTAATTATTCCTGCTGCCCCCTTTAGGTTGAATGTGACAATGTAGCACTGATGACCCGCCTCCAGGAGTCTCAGACTCAGCTTCAGCACACTCAAGGAGCCCTGAATGAGCAGCATGAGAAGGCCCGCCGCCTTAGCCAGAAAGTAACGGCTTTCCATCATCTGTATTTGACGAGGAACCAGGAGGCGCAAAGCAGCGCCACCTCTCCAACCTCTGAGACTCTGATGGAGCTGGACAGAGCTGAGGAGAAGGACAGGGTAGAGAATGAAGAGGACAGGAGTGGAGTAGTGAGTAAAAGTCAGGTGTTTTCATACCAAACTCCTGGTCTGGAAATCCTGCAGTGTAAATACCGCGTAGCTGTGACGGAGGTGGTGGAGCTCAAGGCGGAGCTGAAAGCTCTCCGTGAGAAGCTGGCTCAGTGTGGGGAGGAGACAGTCAAAGAAGAGCCAGGAGAGCACACTCAGCTCCAGAAGCTGGAGAGGCAGGTCGTCTCTTTGGAGAAGGTTTGCAAGGAGGAGCAGGAGATGGTAATAGAGGGGTTTCAGACACGTTAAATAAAACAAGAGCTTTTCTGCAAGTTTTTCTCTCCTCTCAGATTTCTAACCTGCAGCTGGAGTTGGAAGCAGCTCAGTCAGCTTCCAGTGAGAGCCGGGGGGCTTTAAACGCAGCCCAGGATGAGCTGGTGACCCTAAGCGAGGAGCTTGCTCAGCTCTACCATCATGTCTGCCTGTGCAACAATGAGACGCCCAACCGCGTCATGCTGGATTACTACAGGTATGATTGTTAAAAGGTCAAAAGAAGCTCCAGATGGTACAGAAGATATCCAAACACCCCAGGAGTTATTATTTATTTACTGGATAACGGTCTTCAGGCACACCTTAAAGGAAAGCTCTTCTTGAAATGAAACTCACTGTAAAAATTTTGAGTTTGAGTTAAATGAAAAAAGTCAAACTTTGGAACTAAACAAATGAATTGTTTGTCCTACAGACAAGGCAGAGGGCTAAGGGGCCACAGCGCCAGTCTCAAAGCCATGCTGTCAGACAACAGCAAGGTTCTCCTTACACCACGTCTGGCCAGGCGGATGGCTTCTGTCACATCAGCCTCCTCCTCTCCTGGGGAGTCACGGAGCTCCTCAGAGTCTCCATCCAAAGAGCCCCTGTCTAAGGATGTCCAAAAAAATGAAAAGGAGATGAACAAGGAGGTACTTCAAGTGCCCTGTGAGCTCAGTGTGCCACCCTGCACGCCTCCTTCCTGTTCACCTTGCATCAGTGCCTCATCATCTTCATCATCGTCATCACCACTGGCCCCGGAGCTTCTTGGGGAGCTACGCAAGGAGCCCATGAACATCTACAACCTCAATGCCATCATCAGAGACCAGGTAGAGGACATGCTGTGCTAGGGTTGGCAGAACTCAGCTCTTCTCCCAGATTTCAGTCACTATGTTTTCAGAAACAACCTTTAGCTTGTTCCTCGTTTACCTCTTATCATTTTGTTTTTCTACCCTTCAGTTGGTTTCATGTCCACGTCTTCACATGTTACTTCTTTGTCTATGAAATCATTTTAAAGGCCTCGTTTTTGTCTCCTTCCACCTTGAGATGTTACTTCTGTTTCTTTGACACAAAGATGAAATCCGGTTCTACCTTTTAGCCAGATTCCAGTTCAGATGATTTTCCTCTCATTTGAGTTCCATCTTAACTTATTTCCAAAACATCATCGCCTCCTTATCCCCCTCATGTTTCTACTCTTATGTCCCAAGGTGAAGTATCTTCAGCGAGCAGTAGACAGGTCCTTACAGCTGTCCAGACAGAGAACGGCAGCCAGGGACATGGTCCCTCTGCTGGACAAAGACAAAGACAGCTGCATGGAGGAGATCATGAAGCTCAAGTCTTTGCTTAGCACCAAGAGAGAGCAGATAGCGACACTTAGACTGGTGTTGAAGGCCAACAAACAGGTGAGAGCACAGAATGTCCATCCTTTTTTCTGTCTATCAATCTATTCTTCCATTCGTCTGTTCATCAATCCGTTCTTCAGTCTGTCCTTCAATCCATCCCACAAACCCTCACCGCAGCAGACTTGTGAGCACCATCCGTAAATCTTGGCCAAAAACAGTAAACATTGATGAAAAACTGATCCCAGTGATCATCATGTTGCTGTTAATGGACTCTAAACATGTCACTGACAACATTTTCATTAGTTTCTTCCCTAAGTTTGTAAAGCTTTGAACACCCTGTAATATAGGACGCCCCTGCTAGTGCCACATGGAAACCCCAGATACTCAGATCTGTAGGTGGTATGAGTGGTCCACATAGTCCTGGGTGGCTGGCTCTAATGCTGCTGCTGAAATACACGAAACTCTCAAAAGCATAAATTACTGTGTTTTCCTGACACTGAAACACAACCAGCACCCCCAAGTGGCTTCCCTAAGGTATAAAATACAAAACATGTTTTTAGAGACCACGCGGGTACGTTGAACGTGTTTAAATTCACTTTTGATCATAAGTCAGCCCCACTTCCTGAGTTCTCAAACTCTGGCTCCAGAAACCCGGCAGCTCCTGTAAACCTTCAGCATGGCTTCCATTCAGTCCAGCATCAACCATCTCAGCTGATCTTTGTTTTCTTAGACAGCAGAAGTGGCTCTAGCCAACCTGAAGAGTAAATATGAGGCAGAGAAATCATTGGTGACTGACACCATGACGAAGCTGAGGAACGAGCTGAAGGCCTTGAAGGAGGATGCTGCCACCTTCTCTTCTCTCAGAGCCTTGTTTGCCACCAGGTCAGTTTTTTACATAGTTTCTGTTTCTTTAGGTTTGGTTTAAGTGTCCCAGAATGACGTAGCACCGTGATGGGGCCTTTGCTTTGACATGCAGAAGTGTTTTCACCTAGATGCTTCATGTGAAACGAGTGTTCTCCTGCCTCCAGGTGTGATGAGTATGTGACACAGCTGGATGAGATGCAGAGACAGCTGGCTGCCGCGGAGGATGAGAAGAAAACTCTGAACTCTCTCCTCCGAATGGCCATCCAACAGAAACTGGCCCTGACCCAGCGCCTGGAGGATCTGGCTTTTGATCAAGAGCAGACCCGCTGTTCTCGGGGGGGCAGGGTGAGCCGTGGGAAGACCAGCACCCCCAAAGTAAGTCCCTCGGCCTCCAGTCTAGCCCCGTCCACTCCAGCTGGTGGTCCTTCTGCTGTCCATCTTACCAGTCCCACATCAAGTCTATTTCATGATCCTTTTTCTCCTACTGGCCTTCCTGCGGTCAGAACAGCTGTTCTAGCCTCAGCGGTCACTTCGCCTACGTCACTCAAACCCCCTTACAGCCCCTCATCACCATCACTACCTGGCCCTCCAGCACCGGAGAGCCCCCCGTCTCTGGAGGCCCCCTCACCGACACCACCCTCCACTCCTCTGAGGCTGGCTCACTCCAAGTGGACCATGGGAGTTCGAACATTTGTAGTCGACTCCCACAATTTCAGTGTCAACATCTCCCCTCGTAGCTCGGGGCTCTCCAGACACTACACCTCAGACACCCATGCTTCACCCCCATGTACCACCAGATACACCCATCCAGGGTCTGCACCCTCTTCCCCCTATCACTCTCCCTTCCTGGGGCTCAGGAACTCTACCTGGAACCCCTCTACCCGACCCCGGCCGCTGTCCAGCATGAGTCGCTCTTCAGTCCTCTATACTGCTTCCTCTTCCTCCCCTTACTCCTCATCCTACTCCCCCGCTCACTCCTACAGCCACTCCTCTGCCTACTACAGTTCATCCCCCACCTTCACCCCCTCCAGCTCCTACCTCAGCCCCGGCCCGTCCGCCTCCTACAGCCACTCCAGCCACTACACGCCCTTGTATCCCAGATACCACAGTCCATACCGGCCTCGGGAATGAACCCTCAGCTACACGCCTTTTACTGGCTTTTTCACTCAGCTCCTTACTAAAACTAGAACTGTAGCTTTCTTCTCCTTGTCTTCTGGGACAGAGGAGGCTCCAAGAGAGAAGGACCTAGTGGTTCCTTGTCTCCCACTTCCTGTTTGCCTTGTGCCTACACCTTGGCCAATCCGTTCTAAATGTTCACTGACTTTGCTCAGGGATTTGATACGTTGAGCACAAGTGGCCCTGCCTTTCTCTTCTTCTACCACTGGTCCAAAGAAGGACAATGATAGACTTTTTAAAGAAAGTTTTTAAAATTTAGGTTCTTCTGGTTGAGACCACGTGTGCATGAAGGGATTAAACATGAAGACATTGAGTAAACATGTATGTTTAAACATGTTTCTTTGTCTGTATTAAATTAAATATTCACCTGGTTTTCAGTGGTGGGGAGTTTATACACCAGCACTACACCAGACACCTTCCAGTATACGATTCCTGTTTGTAAGTTTGGAAGCTTTAGTAGGTCTGATGCAACATCATTGAGAGGTTGTGCCTCTTGTAGACCAGAAGAGTTTTCTCGACGAGGTGTGAACGGAATCCCAGATTTAGAAGAAGCTGGTATTTAGAGATTTAAAAAAAAACAAATGTAGTCATAGTAAGAGCTACAGCCAACATCTAATGTTCATTACCTCAAACATCTTCACTTAAGCTGTTTTTAAGGGTACAACTGCTCAAACGTGGAAGCACATTTACTATATTTCTGTTCTAACTTCTAACCTGGTTGTTGCCTTAGCTTTAAAAAGTTGTTTCGGATGATAAATCTAACATGTGGTCAAATCAGGAATAGTGAGCTGTGACTTTTGGTCATGGTCCCATCTAAGATGCAGACATTTTGTAGACCAGACTGAGTTCATTGCAGGAACATCATTTAAAGTTTGAAATGTGCAGAGAGTTGGTCTTCACATGACGGAATTGGTTCTTTGATGGCTTTACACAATCACAAGTAAAGTTTGGGTAATTGTTTCACACAATGCTGAGTAGTGGTGATGTCACAACTTTTAAACTGTTAAAAATATTTAAAAACAAGTTCACTTGTTTTTTCAACAAATTTGCAGTGGTCTTGTAAGTGACTGCCTTGTAAGTCGACCTCTGTGGGAAAAAAGCTCTGGCACTCCTGTTTTAGGAACTAGAAGTTAGCCAGAGGAGAGGGGAGCACAACACGACAGGTTTAGGAGTCTTATTTTCTGATATTCAAACATCTCACCTCTGATTGGCTAATAGCAACGTGATGAACACTGACCATTCGCTTTGTAACGTTTATGTTTGATCTGCACAAATAACACAAGCCTGAAGGAGTTCTGCCATGTTGTGGAGTTGCTAATGCTAACGGTTAGCTTCTACTAGCCAAGACATGCTCTGCTCTCTCCTGGACGCTAAATCAACAACAGCCTTCCCCGTTGAGAGCCAAGAGGGTTGAGTCCAATTTTCAGTGTGACGTGCATTTGACTGGCTTTTCTAATTTGAGAGCTTCCCCGTCAGTTTTCTATCAGCAGCTGATGCAGGAAACAGGTGTAGAAGATTATTTTCACCTTTAGCCTGCATGCTACATTCAGTGTGACCGATCATATTTCTAATATCATTTATTTCTAAAACTTAAATTCGTAAGTGTTAAAGTCAGACACCTAAATAAAGTTAATTTAGAGGATTTCTTATGCAGATGTTGGTGAACATAAAAATACAGTTTTACATTCTGCAACAGCACCAGGCTGCCCGAGGATGTGCCTGACTTTAAATCGGCTTTAGTAGTAGGACAAATATCAGCAGATGCAGATGTATAAAAAACGGCAAATATTGGTCTGATATATTGCCAACAAATATAAGTCTACCCCTAGTCTACACTGCGCAATCCTTTCTTTTCCAGTTGAGAACCGTGGATCTGGAATTTGGAGTCACAAATATTCATCCCAGCTACATTACACTGGGCTGTGATTCTTCTCATAGATATCATATAATATATATGATGTCTATGGTAATTCTCCCCAGAATGAGATGCAGCTGTAGCTAGGAGAACCACATCCTTTGTAAAAAATAAAATAATAACACCCTCCAGCAGCACCTTAGCAAGGGTAACGAACTAGTCCATGACTCCATGGTCATGGTGAAAAAACGCCTGGAGATCATGATCTTTTGTTTGTGAGGACCATGTCGTTCCACCTGTAGATCCTGGAGTCTCTTGTTTAATCAAGAAGGAAGACTAATCCAGAAAGAGTAAACCAGACATCTGAGGTCTGCAGGAGGAAGAGTCCTTTCAGGTCCTATCGCAGTTTGACACTGACAGCTGTTCTCAGTCACCTGTATCCAGATCCTCTCCATGGGCGACTCTTCAGCATCAGGGTGTGACAGGAAGACCACAGTGGATCCTGAACTGGCTCAGATGATGATCCCAGACATTTGCCCATTACTGACGTAAAAGTCTGAAAGGCCTCTGGTTCATCCCCCTGACCTCTGTATTACTACGCTGGTAAAAACTCATTCTTCAGTAGTTTTATTGATCTGTGATTTAGAATTTTTTTTTTTTCAAAACCACTGAAATGAACTTGTTTCATCTGAAGAGTCACAGATCTGATCAGTTCAGCAGAAGAATGGACGTTAGGCCAGTGGATCTCTGGAGGACTCAAATGATCTTCGTCAACCACAAAAACGTGACCTTGTAGCCTAGCTCTTGTAAAACCCAACACTGTTTCCTGTTGTAACACTAAATGTTTCACTCAACACACAACTGTCAATCCACCGAAACCGTCTTTACACCTGGTGTGTTGTTTTACCTGTAAGGTCTTTCTCTTGATAAAGGACCACATCCTCAGTGTGTTGTGTTTCATTTTCATATCTTTCCTGCTTCAGTTAAGTTTTTAATTAAATCTGACTGAAACAAATTTGGGATTACCTTCTCGGGTCAGGGATCAGGCTCAAACTCAGGTTTAGTTGTCCAAAACAAGATGAATAATGCACAAACGTGAAAAACATTTTAAAAAGAAGATAACATTGTTTCAAGTGTTTTATTCTGTTGTTTCACTTTCATGTTGTCAGCTGTTAAATCATCTGACAGGTCATTCCTGATCCCTGAAGCTTCTATCTTCTAACTGAGGAAACCAGCTCAGTGACCTAGTGGTAGAGTGTCCGCCCTGAGACTGGGAGATCAGGGTTCGATTCCTGGTCGGGTCATACCAAAGACCCAATGCATCCCTGCTTGACACTCAGCATTAAGGGGTTGGATTGGGGGGGTTAAACCACCAAATGGTTCCTGAGCGCGGCCGTGTCTGCAGCTCACCGCTCCCTCAGGGGATGGGTCAAATGCGGAGAACAAATTTCGCACACACATCAGTGTGTGTGACAACTGATGGGACTTCAACTTTAACTGGGCTGATCCTCAGCTGATAGCAACAAACACAGAAAGTTGATGCAAATAGTTGTTCTACTTTAACGAGCACTGCCTCTCCATTCTGGACAACATCTGTCCTGTCAGATCCAGATCAGAGCCTGAGATCAGTAGACTCAGTGGTCTCCTTTAAAAAGCATCTGAAAACTCACTTGTTCAAGCTGGCTTTGGTGTGAGCTTCTTCAACCACTCTCTCTTTATTCTGCTCTCCCCACCTATTCCACCTTCCTCAGAATCCACTGTTTTGCCTCTTTCCTATTCACTCTCTTTCTTAACATTTTTTCTTTTAAATCACAATTGTCTATTTTTTGCTCATTTTAAATATATTTTTAACAATTTTCTAAATTCTTTTTTATATTTTTACATTTTTTTGTATTTTATGAAGCGCCTCATGATTTTTATCTTGAGAGGCGCTATAGAAATGATATTTTCTTCTTCTTGCAGAAACCTTAGAAGTCCAGAGGTAGAAAAATGCTGCAGCTGCTGCTCTGAGAAGCAGAAAAGTTGTCCCTTAAAACAAACGACCACTTGATGTCAGTGTGGGAACATGATTGGTTCTGCATGGAAAGGACATTAGGCAAATTGCATTATTCTTCTTGGTCTTTAATTGGGACTTAGGAGACCTTATAATTATAAACTGGCTGCAGCATTCCTTCCAGATAATAAATGGGGTTGTTTTGTGGTGCTCACACCTGTCCAAGTGAATCATACCAAAACAAAAAATAAAAACATTAAGAGCTTCTCCATAACTTCCCTCATATTGGGTGAAACCATGTCTTTAAAAGAATGAAGGCTATGATACATGATTTATAATCAGTGCATCACATCCCCTCAGAGCAGAGTCTAAGAGGTTCTTCACTCTCAATAGGTTTGCAGAGGCCTCTAGTAGGCTTGTAAGTCGTACTCTCATGTAAAAAGCTCCGGTGAGCCTGTTTCAGCAGAGAATTAAGCTGGAGGAGAAAGTAGCTTCAGATGACAGGATTTGCGGTTTTATTTACTGATATTTGGACATCTTGCCTCTGATTGGCTAACAGCAAAGTGGCTCTACCACTGACTGTTTGCTTTGCATTGTTGATGTTTTATCCACACAAATAACAAGCTTGAGAGTTCTGCTGTGTGGTGGAGTTGCTAACGCTAACAGTTAGCTTCTACTAGCCGAGATGTTCTCTGCTGTTTCCAGGATGCCAAACCAACAACAGCCTTCGAGTCAAGACGGGTGAGTCCATGAGTGTTCAGCGACAGTGTGATGTAGATCGGTCGGGCTTGTTAAAGGCTGCTGCTTTCAGTAAATATCAATGCTGCTTCTCTGCAGTCGGCTCAGAGGTCCAGGGGAGACACCCAGACCCTTCCTATTCCCTGAGACCTTGTCCAGCCCTTCGTGGGGTGGGGGATCCTAGGGTGTTCCCAGAGCAGAGGACATATGTAATCTCTGCTGAGTGGTTGGGATCTTGTAGTGGCTAGGCCAAGATGCTTTCTGATGAAAACCACCTCAGCTGACTTCTTTTGAGGAGAGAATCAGTCAAACTAATCTGATCTCCCCCACCTCACCTCTAAGGCTGAGTAGGGCTACCTTATGGAGGAAGGATCATTTCAGCTGCTTGGATCCAGAATCTGGTTCTTTTGATCTCGATTCAGATCACATGACCACATGTGAGGGTTTAGACAGACCAGTAAATCCAGAGCTTTGGATTTCAGCCCTGATCCTTTTTTACCTCAAATTAACGTCTTCGAACAGAGGACAAAGTCCGGATCCATCAGTCCATCTCTCAGGAACATGAACCCAAGATACCAGAACTCCACCTAGAGGGGTATGGTTAACCCCACTGCCTCATGAGGAGGCCTTCTCCAGCTCCATGAAACCCATGAGGACTGGAGAAGCAAAGACACAGGCCTGTGTACTAGTGTCTGTTCTAGTTTACACCAGCTGGAGAAAAGCCTAAAAGCCCAAGTTTAGTAGAACTGATGGAATGTTCCTTCATGTTGAAGAGGTCACGATTTTCTCTGAGTTCAGGAGGACAAACTGATACTTATAAAGAAAAGAAAATATCAAAGAAGAAAGTTTGACTTGATGCCTTTATTCAGTCATACAGCACACCCACACAAAGAGTCAAACTTCACACACGCTGAACATCAGACACAGCTCTCATCCAGCTTCCTCACACTCACACACACCAGAGAGAGGGAGACATTGCCTCCAGTTTCACAGCAGTCTGTCTTCTGAGTCTTATCTGAACCCAGATCTTGGTCTGAGTTGTGGGACCTTCAGCAGGTGTTCTGACCAGGGTTAGAGTTAGGGAGGCACACATGACAAAAATCATTTCTTGTCCTCCTCCGAGGAAAAACCCACGCCCCTACTCTTGTTCTCACCTTGCTGATTGGTGGAAAGAAACACAAAGAGTTCATCGATTGGTCCTTTGAGTTGTCGGGCTTAAAGGCAACTTCACGGCCTCGGCCTGCAGCCAGTGTGAAGTTCAAAAAGTAAAACCTGAACATGACAACTGCTTTGGGATTCTGCAGAACCAGAACAGAGAAAAGACCAACAGGACGCTCAGAGGGACGTGGACATCCTGAATCTGGTCAGGATGTCCACGCACCAGTCAGGGCTCTTCTGATTCTAATCAGCTACAAGGTTGTGCCATCCGAGTGCCTGCTGATGATCAAGTCAGTCGAACCGCGGAGGGATTCCACACACACACACACACACACACACACACACACACACACACACACACACACACACACACACACACACACACACACACACACACACACACACACACACACACACACACACACACAGTCATGTTACACATAACCCACAGTTCTGTTTGAAATATGGCTGCACTAAGCTGGAGTCAGACCCCCTGCTAGGACAAGGCTTCCCTGTTGAAGCCCCGCCCACTCACCCCAGTCATTACAGATATCCTTCTCCTACATCATCTCTTCTACAGCAGAGCCACACTGAGGCTCAAATGTTCCGTCAAAGTCTTGATGGATTCGGGTCCTCCAGAATCCAGGTGGGCCCCACACGAGCCATGTTTTTGTCCGCCCACCCCCTTCCTCAGCCCATGGACAGCATCAGTAGTTCAGTGCCGGGGAAGGGAGGGTCTGCGCTGGTAGCTAGCTGTTGTTATCGGCTGTCATGTATTTGAGGGCGGCAAAGCCGTAGCGCCGCGACATGTTCTGCTGGAACTCCTCCTTCAGGGTTTTGAGGCAGACCCGGTACTGCTTGTTGGAGCGAAACTTGGTAATGTCAAAGCTGGGTGCATGAGGCATGTGGATCATGTAGGCGTTGGGCAGAACCACAAACTCGTACTCCTGCAGGCAGAACAGCAGACAAAACCTCTTATGTCAACCAAGAATCTGAAGCAGCAGTGAGATACATCAGGCAGAAACCAGTGGCTATAGCTGCAGCCTTAGCAGCTTTGTGTACGGTAGTCCAACAGCTGCATAGAGGGGAAACTAAAGCATCACGTTTATGGATGTTCTGGTTGGTCAGAGTCTCATCGGGGCTCTGCTCTGAGGCAGAACATTTATGATTGTGACGACCATGTGTCATGTTCAGTGTTGGGAACATTACTTTAAAAAGTATGTAACATGATGAAGGAGCCATTCCTACCCTCTAACAACTGTTCCCTTTTGACGCAGTGCCAGAGTGCATGAAACAGCCTCAAGGTCATGCATTCGCTTCTAAACTGTTTACATTCCAGCAATGAAGACAGAAGAACGAAGAATGAACTCTTTTCTTTTAATTAATCAAAGAACTCTATTTTAATAAAGCTAATCCATCAAAGTGTTAGTCAATAATAATATGTGACCAACCTGTGAAATTAAAATATTAATTACTTTATTATGATCTTAGAAATGATAAGTACTGTAACTTTAAGGATTCCAACAGGACTCATTTCACATAGTGTTAAAAAGACATGACACATTACTTTCACTGATCCAATCAGAATCTTACAGATCTGACGGAGGCGTGGTTCTGATGGTGTTTGGTAATTTTCATTCGACAATTAACATCCGAAGTATAAAACTACGCCACGTCAGCTCTAACGCCAGTTCAAAAGCGTTCCAGAGCAAGCGTCGGAGTGGCCAATCCGACCTTTAACTCTTCAACCGAAAGAACCACGACAAGCTGAAAAATCCAGTCGCTATAACAACCAGCAGCAACAACAGCTCCTTTCAGAATAAAAGCTCCACTGACCCAGGCTGGGTCTGAACAGATGCCAATAAAAGAGTCATGTGCCGGAGGTAACTCAAGATGGGTCTGGTCGGAACCGCGGCCTCTTCTACCAGCTCGGTTTCCAGAGAGGGTTCACTGGACCTCGATATTCCTGATCTACAGAGGACTTCCACCGAAGGCAAAGGTAGACACAACATGATGGGGTCTCATGCTGTTTCTGAAACTAACCAAAGCTTAATTCAAAACAACATCTTCAGTTCCCGTCAGAACTAATCACTTCTTTGGATTTGCTGGTTCTGATTACATCACACGTCATCCATTCACTGTCTCATCCATTTTTAGTTACACTATACATTTAGTTTAAAGTCAGCCTAGTTTAATTTGTTAGTAATACAATTCTTAACTTTTAAACTTGACACTCTCTATTCTGTTGTCTCTGAGTGAATACATAACGGTTACATAATCTCTGCATTAAAAAGATCCAATCTTCTGGTTTAAATAACCCTCGATCTGTAAGGTGGATTTCATATTTACTATGGAATCCCACGCCTTATGGCTCATTAAATAAAATGTAAGAACCTCTCATTTTCCTTACACATGGCGAGCCCTTTGCCAGATATTTGTACATTATTAAACGCTATTTGTTCAGTCGGAGACATTTTATTTTAGATTTTTAGACATTATTTTTAGAAAAATAGACTAAAAACTGATGTTCTGGTGAGAAAAAGGGTACAATCTCGTGCTGCGCCACGCTGCGTTATAGTTACTGATTACTTTGTAAAAAAGGTAACTCAGTTACTTACCGAGTTACAAGATTTTATTACCAAGAAAAATAACAATTTTGTTACTTTTCATTAAAAAAGTGCAAGAAAATGGGTTCTCCTCTTGATTAAACTTACTTAATTCACTATAAATTACTATCCATTCATCCATCCATCAATTTTCACCCTCTTATCCGGAGTCGGGTCGCGGGGGCAGTAGCCTAAGGCGAGAGGCCCAGACTTCCCTCTCCCCAGCCACTTGGGCCAGCTCCTCCGGGGGAATCCCAAGGCGTTACCTGGCCAGGTGAGAGACATAGTCCCTTCACCGTGTCCTGGGTCTACCTTTAGGTCTCTTCCTGGTTGGACGTGCCCGGAAAACCTCACCAGGGAGGCGTCCAGGAGGCATCCTAACCAGATGCCCGAGTCACCTCAACTGGCTCCTCTCGATGTGGAGGAGCAGCGGGTCTACTCTAAGCCCCTCCTGGATGACCAAGCTTCTCACCCTATCTCTAAGGGAGAGCCCAGCCACTCTGCGGAGAAAACTCATTTTGGCCGCTTGTATCTGCAAGCGTTCTTTCAGTCACTACCCAAAGCTCATGACCATAGGTGAGGGTAGGAACGTAGATCGACCGGTAAATCAAGAGCTTCGCCTTCTGACTCAGCTCTCTCTTCACCACGACAGACCGGTACAACGCCCGCATCACTGCAGATGCAGCACCAATCCGCCTGTCGATCTCACGCTCCAGTTTTCCCTCACTCGTGAACAAGACCCAAAGATAATATAAATTACAATACTAAAATATAAATGACTAATGACTGGAACATAATAAAATGTATGTCCAAATGTTTTTTATAAAACTGAATAGTTTAAATAAATGGGCACTTAACAGGAGGAACTACAAACAGGAACATTACACTAATCTAGACTATTAAAATGTCACTGTGTGATTTAACAAGACCCCAATCAGCTAAAATGTATAATTGGAAATAGAAACACCTATAAAGGTTCCTGAGCCTTTAAATGATCTCTCAGTCTAGATAAATTACAGAAATAAATGTAAATTTGCACAGCATTTTAATTTTTCCAACTTCACACAATTGTGTGTTTTTAGTAGCATTTCTGCTGCTGGTAATCTAGTAACGGTTAAATAAATAAATAAAAATCCTTTAAAATGACAAAAGAAGAGGCACAAAACTGATGGAGGACTTAAATGTACTAACTTGGGTCAGACTAGGGCTGGGCGATATGACGATTTTAGACCGTTTTACGATCTACACATCTGACGGTCTGTCATTTTTGAGAGACCGTTTTATCACAATTCACGAGAGGGTGCTCGCTGCAGAACCACAAAGGCGGAGCTGCATCATAAGGTGGAGCTGCACCAGAGTCAGCCCCGCCCATTCACGCAAACTCAGCCTAGCCCACTGACTTCCGTTTTTGTTTTCAACTTTATCGCAAACTGACCTGACCCACATGAATTACGGCTGTTACTAGTTTACAGTCGTTAATGCTATGTTCTATGCTCCAATTAAACAAGATAAATATAACTTGCTACATGACAAAGACTGAATATATCTCGAAATGAAAAGGCTTTTTTCAGCAAATATCTGCCCACAGCCGGTCTAACAGAAATCGTGTATAACAGCATTTCAAAGTTTTGATTGGGCCTCAGTGGTCTAGTGGCGAGATCGTCTGAGTTAAGATTTGCTTTCCCCTCAGCTGATGCTGGTTCGATTCTTGGTGGGGTCGTCAGCAATCTATTTAGCCAGCTGAAACATTTAATTTGTTTATATTTTAGTTGTAATGTTTATTTTCAGCAAAATATTTATGTCTGTAAAAGTTCTTTGAATTTGGTCGTTCCTAAACAGCATTTTAGTTGAAACTCTGCTCACAAATGGACTCACACTGGCTAAATAAACGAATAAATAAATAAAAAAAACACATTAGTCATTATATGTTAAACTGTATACCAGTAAATTGTTGTAAACATAGTACTGGCAAGTGTAGCTAGAAATGAATAAAAGAGGTTGTACACTACCTAAAACTTACAGTAATGGGAGGCGAACCTGCGCAAAACTGCATGTTAACCTGACTCCATAACCACTACACCACCACATCTATTATAACTCCTGCGGCGTTACATCTAATTGTGCTGCCCAGTGTGTCTCTGAGATGGGTTGTATGGTTTTTCGGCGGTGTCTCAGTAGAAGTCATTTCAGAAATAATTTGTCAGAAAATTCACAGAATATCCAGATTTGAGAACCAAGACCAGACCCGCTTCGGGGGAGGAGACCAAATTGAAGCTGAGATGGGAGGAAAATGCATGAATGAGGCTAAAAATTGCTTTGGCATGTTTCTTATGAGGAAATGACAATATAACATGATTAACAGTTCCAAAAGTTAGATTTTCAATTATATGGAACCTTTACAAAAACTGTTCAATTAACTTCTCAACTCCATCCTCAATCTTGCATTTTTTAGCTATAGCACCCTCTTTGGTTCCAGAATGCTATCAAGTCTGACAACTGGAAGGAATTGGTCTGACTCTGATGGAATGGGCAGGGCTGATTCTGGAATGGGCGGGGCTGACTCTGGTGCAGCTCCACCTTCTGGTGCAGCTCCGCCTTTGTGGTTCTGCAGCGAGCACCACTTGCAATTCACAGCTCTGCTGTTGAATTTCTGCCTCTGAATGAAAAGGGAACTTACCCCAGGCGAATGACACGCCTTTGTTTGACCCTTAACCAATCAGAGTGAGTCATAGTAATATATTAGTGCCCCGCTTGTTTTCACTTGTGTGTGAACAAACATGGCTTCGCCGCGGCTGAGCGACAACGAGGTTTTCGTTCCGAAGAGGAACGCAGGGTTTCCTTAGCGCGCGGCGCTAACAACTTAGTGACGTGACATGTCTCGGAGAAAGCGTAAAAACACGTTGGACGCTTCTTCTGAAGCAGGAAAATAACACCTCTTCTTAAGCAGAGCACGACGCCGCCTCGGCTCGTCCACCCTCTGCCGAGACCGCGGTCAAGTGAGCCGTCAATTGTGAGCCGCGGTCAAGCCAGCCGCATCTTATCCGCTGCGAAAATTTCATTGCGCGTTTACAACAGTCTTTACGGTACCACATTTTGAACAGGGAACTGCCCAACTCGTGACAGTCTGGTTGCATATTCAAAAATTCATAAAAAATCATCCTTCATAGCTGATGTACAACTTTCACCACATCCTTACTCTGGAACACCTACTGTACCTGTGTGCCATATTTCAGACAGATTTACTGTAGAAATCTTCAGATATTAAAGCAAACTTATATTAAGTCCACACTCGTGACAGTCTGGTTGCATATTCAAAAATTCATTAAAAAACATTTTTCATA